ACTGCTGCGGCAGCTCTTCGCAGAATTCTGTGACCACTGTTTGAGGTCGAGGACAAAGAGGACTTTTGGGTGCCCTGGGTACAAAATGTGTCTTTTTGCACTGACTCTGTTTATTCTGGACAAGAGAGAGGATGTGTGTAGGTTGGACAGAGCCTGCTGAATGACGATGTGATCTCAGGACTCCGAGGACAGTAGACAGGAGTGAAGCCGCTCCTGAGCTTTGCATCGGACTCTGGAGTGTTCGGCCGACTCCTGCTGCCCCTCGCATGAATTACCTTGATAGACACCCACCTGTGAGGGCCTTGGAGTCTACTTTGCTATTTTACAGATGAGAAAACTGTAGGCCGGAAAAGTTGCCTTATGTAGCAAGGGCAGACCCAAACTCAGGCCTTCCTGAACTCAAGTTCAGGGGCTCCTGTGTAGCTGCCCATGTGGTCTGAAGTATTAATACACTTGCTACGTTTTGTACTACTGGGCTAAAGTTATGTACGGACCCATCATGTAAGCCCACTGGACTATTTTTATTCATAGTGAGGACAGCAACGGTCAATTGCTTGCCCTCAGTCAATAGCAACTATTTATGGGATCATCAGAGTCCCAGAAAGAAGTGGCGTTAGGTGGTTAAAAGCCTGGCCTGCAAGTTGGGAACCATGTCCGCTCCCAAGCTGCTGGCCGTTTTCCCTACTTAGCCAGTTTCTCATTCAGGAAATATTTGTGAGGCACCTATTATATGCAAAGCACTCTGCGAGGTGCTGGGTTTACAAAGAAGAAATGCGGTAACATTTATGGATAGGGAATAAGTCCAGAGCCTCTCGTCTGAAACCCTTCGGACTAGATGTGTTTTACAAATCAGAAATATTTGGGTTTACAGACTAACTGGTCTGACAGAGAAACCCCGCGAATATGGCTCCCGGACACCATTTTCACTCAGTACTGAAGTTACTCCTGAGATTCACCCTTCAGCCAAAGATTCACCCAAACCAAACCCGTTGCCATTGAAATTAGGCCCATAAAACAAAATGAGACTAAATGGGCACACCAGCCCAGGGGCAAGGACAAGAAGGCAGGAGGGGACAGGAAAGCTGGGAATGGGGAACCCAAGGTCGAGAAGGGGGGAGTGTTGACAGTGTCATGGGGTTGGCAACCAGTGTCGCAAAACGATATGTGTATTGTTTGAGAAACGAATATGCTCTGTAAACCTTCATCTAAAGTACAGTTTAAAAAAAAATTTGGAGTTTAGAAAGGTAATATGTATGTACTTTGTAGTCTATAATAACTGTAGTGGGGTCTGGGCTGCACCCCTCAATCAAATGCATTATTTCCACATCGAAATATGAATATCCGCACTGAATGGGATAAGACTGAAAATTGTTCCACATCAATTCAGGTCATCTTTTGCCACCAAATGAGTTTGCTGCACACTCAGGAAGACACACTTTTCAAAGCTTCTTGGCTTTTGGAATTGTGCATGAAAGACTGTGGTCCTTATTTTGGGAGCTTTTGAGGAAGGACCCCTAACCCAGTTTGGGGGGCAGGAGTGGAGGCCTGAAAGAGATGATGCTCAAGTTGAGAACTGAAGGAGGAGTAGGCAGGCAAACCGAGGTGATTTTCTGCCTTCCTCCTTGGAATATATTGTAATTCCGTTTATAAAGTGTTCTACAGTCCAAGTTGAGAGACCTTTCCCTTCATTGCAGTGATGGAAGGGGCTGTAAGGAGAACTGATGAGCGTGGTTCTTGTGTCAGACCCAGCTTTAAATCCCTAGTTCTGCCTTGAATGACCTGTAACTTTTACTTAACCTCTCTGAGTCCATGCCCTCATTTGTAAAATGGGGTAATAACCCCTGCCTCCATTGAGTTGTTGTGCAAAAACAAAACTAGGGCCCAGTAAGTTGCTTGGCACCTAGAGGGCAATCGATCAATAGCAGATGCTCTTGGTGGTGGTAAGACTTTGAGATAGGCCACATGTTAGTACTCAGGCCTGGTGGTCTTGTACTGACCACCCAGGCTGATGATACTTCCTTTCCTGAAGTCCCTGACACAGCTACTAGTTGCTTTCTGGTCCTTGAAGATAATTATGTTTCCCCATTGATGGCAATGAGGTCCTTAAGCACAGAGACCGCATCAGTTTCCTTGCTTGTGCATCAAAGTTAAACTTAAGTCCTTGTTGATAAAATACTTTCTGCAGGTCCTGAACCGTGCTAATGACCCAGCTATTGACCTCAGGAGCAAAAGAAGTGTCCTCTCGTTAAAGCAAATTTGCAGGGCTGGACTTTCCTCCCCGACATTTTAATGATTAAAAAAAAAAAGTTGTCTGAGCCTTTAGTTGTATTTATTTTGGGGGTAGTTGGTGAGAAGCCCTCGTGTTTGCCCTCTCTTTCCCTTCTTGGCTGCATCGTCCTGCTCTTCTGGCTAACCAGAACACTGAGTACGGTTTTGCTGGGAAATTTCATGTGTCTACAAGTGCAGAGTTGTGCTTCTTCCCACCTCCCTACCATCTCTCCCCACTAACTAGTCTTCACAGTGTGAGCCCTAGCCCATTTAGGGCTTCGCCATTGTCTCTGCGTGGTTTTAGGCAGGTCACCTAACCATTCCATAAAAAATGAATGAGCTGCACGAGTGATTTCTAAAGTTTCCGCTGTGTATCTCCCCATCTTCTCTTGTAGATACGTGCAGATGTTTATGAGACGTTTTTTTCAGTGTCAGCTGCTACAAGCTCTGAACTCTTGCTTCTGATTTGCTTTTTAATTTGAGACCAGCATGCATTGATTTCACTTGTTAGGAATCATTCAGTGTTAAATAATGTCAACCTAATGATCATTTTTCTTTTAGAGGTAATAGCTTGTTCATCTCAGCTAACATGCCAACTAATTCCTTTTCCTGTGTCTGTGTAAGGGAAGAAATTTTTCCAATAGTCATTTGCCAAATATACTTGCTGCTAAGTATTATGTGAGTGTTTAAGGCAAGGGAGGAAAGGGCTGTGTTTCTAAAAGGGTCCTTTTGCAGGTTAGATTTTATAAATATGTACTTTAAGGGATATCTTCAAAAATTTGTTGGTTTTCTAAAAAAAGAAATTTCTAGATTTATTTTGGCCCAGATAAGAAATAGTAACTTTTTACATTTCTTCAATAACAACTCTGAAGTCTCATTAATTCAAATGTTAAGCAGTGATAAGATAATGTGTATCGGAAAAAAAAGTAATGATCAAAGCAGTGTTCACTATAAATAACTGCGGATTATTTAGTATGATAAAGCAGACAACTAAGAGACCAGGACAGTGACTAAATATTACTTTTTAATGACAGCGGAATTTACAGTTAGAATGGGATAGCTAAAACATGGCGTATGGATCAGATACTAAAGCAATAAAGGTCGAGAGGTTTTTTTTTAACGTGAGAAGTTATCTGATAGGAATGATCTAGTAGACAGGGAAACACTGAAACCAATCCTTGCATAGGTGAGGGGGTGGGGTGTAGCATACATATGATGGGATGACCGGAGAGAGGAGCATAGTTTATCCATCAAAATGGGGGAAGGCAGGATATATGTTTCCATTGTTTATGCTTTCTCAGTGAAGCACGAGGCATGGACATCAGCCGAGAGTGCAGATAGGGAGGCGTTACTGGAGGTTTGAGGAGAGAGGAGAAGGTATGGAATAGTCCTTCAGGAGAGTAAGAAAGTGAATGGATCAAGGATTTCTAGTCTGATTGTCAGATAGCACTAAGGGTCATTAATTTAAAGTGAGTTCAGTCAGCGTGGTTGTGTGTTTTTCTCCAGCCACAGTAAGCTGTACAGGTGCATCCTCTGAGTAGGCAGAGAGAGTTAATCAGAGCTGGCATTTTGCCAGGAGCCCTGGTGGCACAGTGGTTAAGCATGCTCAGCTGCTAACTGAAAGGTTGGCAGTTTGAACCCACCAACCACTCCATAGGAGAAAAGACCTAGCGATCTGCTCCTATAAAGATTTCTGCCTAGGAAACCCTATGGGGCAGTTCTGCTTTGTCCTATAGGGTCGCCATGAGTCGGAATTGACTTGACGGCAATGGGTTTGTTTTTTGGGGTTGTTTTTGTTTTGTTTGTTTTTTTTTGGGGGGGGATTGGGGGTTTTGCCCAGCAAGTACAGTGGAGTGAGACGGGGCAAAGGATTAACAGATAACTCCTATCTTAAACTGTCTCAGTTAAAAGATAAAGAGGGATAGCTCCAAACTCCTTTTATATGGCCAATACCGTGTGATACAATAGTCAAATGAGACACTATGAGAAATAAAATTTATTGACCACATTCACTTATGAATAGTGATGCAAAAATACAAAGTAAAATATTAATACCACGAATCCAGCAATGTATTAAAAAGATACATCATGACCAAGTGGAGTTTATCACAGGAATGCAAGGATATTCACTGTAAGAAAATGTTTGTTTAATTTGCCACATTTATAAAGGAGAAAAACTAGGACCATGTCAGTAGATATAGGAAAAGCCTTTGATAAAATTCAGCATCCATTAATGAATAAAAAAATGAAACACCTTTTAGCAAACCAGGCATACAAGGGAACTCTGTTATCCCAATAAAGAGTAATGTTAAAAAAAAAAAAAGTGTACTTCACATCATAGCTAATAGAACATCAAGGATCCCCCATCACCCCTTCTATTCAGTATTGTACCTGTGGCCCATGCAACAGATAAGAGAAAGAAATGAGGTATAGAATGATCATTATTTGCAGACATAAGTGCCATAGAAAATTGAAGACTATTG